ACGCTCTAACGTTCTACCTCTCAAAGAACTCAGAACTCCTCACCCCAGCCACAGTCTCTGATCTGCCAACTTGTTCACTCACATCTTCCCTGTGCATACAGGTTTGCCACCACGTGAGAACCCCCAATCCATTGTCCTCTCTGTCCATTTCATCATTTTTTTGTGTTCTCTTTAATCCTTGGATGATTGCTTCAACTGAGTACTTGTCAAGGCTAAATATTCCTTGTCCCTTTGATCTTTCACCAAACCTGCTTATCAAATCTCTAATCTTGCATGATTCCGCCATCTGCATATTTCATGGCTGTAACTCAGCACAACACATGACAAGGCATGTGGCTCATGCTCCAAATACAAGGTCACAGAATACTTAATTTGCCCTCAGAAATACCAGGTAGTCCTACTATGTCTTGTGAGTCAGTTCCCTTTCCCTTGCTCTGTAAGTATTATTTCAAACCTTTTCCATGCCTTATGAATCTCATTCAATTTCAACTTTCCCCTCACTTTCAGCAGTTGGCTTTGACTCCTATTTGACAAATGAAATAGATATTTTTAAAATTCATTTTATTGAGGTCACATTGGTTTATAACATTATATAAATTTCAGGTGTACATCATTATATTTAGACCTCTGTATAGCCTGCATCGTGTTGACCACCAAAAGTCTAGTTTCCATCCATCACCATACACATGTGCCCCTTTACCGGTTTCGCCCTCCCCCATCCCCTTCCCCTCTGCTAACCACCAGTCTGTTCCCCGTATCTATTTGTTTGTTTATCTTCCACATGTGAGTGAAGTCATATGGTAATTGTCTTAAAGTCAATACTGTTGAAGAAAGATCTAACATCCTCACCATGAAGCATGCAAACATTCCTGAGCCACACCAGTTTCTTACACCACTCTCCTTTAAAGGAGGAGGAGCTGTCTTTAATCCCAAGACTGTCCTTTACCACTAAAGTATGTTTGGGTCCTATTCCCTCCTGTCTCTCAGGAATTTTATCTTAGTGATTATAAATTATATTTATCATAAACTAATCCCTCTCTACTGATTCCACTTCCTTAGCATTTAAGCATGTTTAAATTATTACCATTCTGAAAAAAAACCTCTCCTAATCCCATTTTCTCTCCATCGTCTGTATCTCTTTTCTTTAACAAACTTGGAAGTAATCCCCATTTATTCACTCTTTCCTCTCATTCCACAAACTTCTCAACCCTCTCCAGTCTTGTTTCTATCCCCACCATTTAGTGGACCCTATTGCCGACACCACCGATGATCTTGTTTTTTTTAAATCCCCCTTTTCCCTCAGTCTTCATCTTTCTTGAAGCCTCAGCAGAATTTGATTACTTTCTTCCTATTTAGACCTTTTCTGTAGACTCTCAAGTGTTTTCCAGCTTCTATAGTCACCATCAGCTTTTTGTATGATACTTCACCATTTCGTGCTGGATTGTCTCACATCCCAGTCCTCTCCCTCTTCCCTTTTCATTCTGTACGCTCTGTCTTGCCAATCACATCCATCACCCTCACTTAAATCTCTACTTATTTCACATTACTCAGTCAACAAGGACATCTTCTCCACAGTGGCCACATAGGTAGGGACTGAGGGGGGACATGGAGCTAGAAACATTCAGAGGGACAGAGTTTTAAGGATTAGATAGGATAGATGGAGGGATACTAAAGGAATAGTGGCTTCTGGGCACCCATCTGAGACTGGTTTTGTATAAATGTAAAGCTGATTTATATGGGAACAATAAAGAAATATTTTACCCAATAATTTTACCCAATAATAATAAAATAAGATCATGATTGTGTTCTTCATGGTAAGGTAATGGATTGTAGCAGATATCATACTAACATAAATGCAGAGTGTTTTACCCTTTCGTCCATTGTATTTGGGGACTGACAAAGGCTCATCCATGTGGCTACTTGTGTGCTCCAACACAGGGGTCCAAAGGGAACGGTGGGCACAGAATCATCTCTGTTTCAGCAATTATGCTAAGCCTTCACATCTTGACAGAAAAGTCCTTGATGTACCCATACTCCCATCAGCTTGGTGTCTGCAAGACTAAGATTCATTCTTTCATTATTACATGAACTCAATAGATCTTAGACAATGAATTTGCCTAAGATTGTTTACATTCTAAAGCCAAAAACCCACTACAGGTGAAAATGAGCTATTTTTAATCTGATGAAACTGTTTTCTTCTACTTAGGAACCCTTTTTTTTTTTTTTTTAGTAAAAGCACTTGGACAGATTCTCTGTTTTCCAAAGCTTTATTGAGGTGTAATTTACATGCAGTCAACTGAACACCTTTAAAGTGTACAGTTTGATGAGTTTTGACATTATATATACATCTGTGAATCCATCACTGTAATCAAGGTAATAAACGTATCCATCACCCTCCAAAATTTCCTTTTCCTCCTCCTGTAATCCTACCCTCCAATCTCTCCTTGTGCCCCCCGTCCCAAGGCAACCACTGATTTGTCACTATAGTGTAGTTTTCATTTTCTAGAATTTTATATAAGGAGAATCATACAATATATACTCCTTTCTAAAAATTTGGCTTCTTTTACTCAGCATAATTACTTTGAGAATTATCCATGTTGTTGTGTATCAGTAGTTCATTCTTTTTTTATTGCCAAGTAATATTCCTTTGTATGGATAAACCACAATTTATCTATTCACCTGGTTCTGGACATTTCCAGTTTTTGGCTGTGTTATGAACATTCACATTTATATTAGTGATTATAAATTATATTTATCATAAACTAATCCCTCTCTACTGATTCCACTTCCTTAGCATTTAAGCATGTTTAAATTATTACCATTCTGGGCATATACTTTGTCTGGGCATATACTTTTGTTTATCTTGGGTAAAAAGCATAAGATTGGAATCACTGGATCATGTGATGAGTATATGTTTGACTTTTTAGAAAACTGTCAAACTTTTCCAAAGTGGTTGTACCGTTTTATAAACCCACCAGCAGTGTATGAGAGTTTCAGTTCCTCCCCGTTCTTGCCAACACTTGGTGTGGGAAATCTTTTAAATTTTAGACATTCTATTTAGTGATATCTCATCATGGTTATACCTTATATTTCACTAATGGTTAAAGATGTTTAACATATTTTCATTTTGCCCATGTCCTTTATTGGGTGTTTGCTTTATTATTTGAGTTTTAAGAGTTCTTTATATATTTTTCATAAAAGCCCTTTATTAGATAGGTAATTTGCAAATTTTCTCCCAGTCTGTGGCTTGTTTTTTCATTATTTTAACTGTGTCTTTCAAAAAGTAGAAATTTGATGAAGTCCAACTTATCAGATTTTTCTTTTTATGTGTATTGTTCTTTTGGTATAATATCTAAGAAGTTTTATAATTTTAGTTTTTATATTTAGTCCTATGTTCCTTTTTTAGTTAATTTTTGTATACGGTGTAAAGTATGGATTGGAGTTCATATTTTGCATATGGATATCCAACTGACCTAACAGCATTTGTTGAAAAAGACTATCTTTTCTTTACTGAATTGCCCTTACAAGTTTGTCAAAAATCACTTGTCGCATACATATGGGTCTATTGCTTGACTCTCTGTTCTGTCCCTTTGATCTACTGTCTTAATGCCAATACCATACTAACTTTATTACTATAGCTTTGTAGTAAGTCTTGAAATCAGGTAGTGTTAGTTGTACAATTTTGTTCCTCTTTTTCAAAGTTGTTTTTGGTATTCTAGATCCTTTTCATACAAATTTAAGAATTAGCTAGTCAATTTCAACAACAAAAAAAGCCAGCTTGGATCTTGACTGGGATTGTTTTGAATCTATTACTTAATTTGGGGAGAATTGACATCTTAACAATACTGAGCCTTCTGACCCATGAACATGGTACATCCCTCCATTTATTTAGGTCTTCTTTAATTTCTGTCAGCAATATTGTATAGTTTTCAGTGTATAGACCTTGCACATATTTTGGCAGATTTATCCCTAAGTATTCCATATTTTTAATGTAATTATAAATGGCATTGTTTTGTCAATTTCAATTTCTGATTGTTCATTGCTAGTATGTATAAATACAGTTGATTTCTTTATATTGATCTTGTAGCCTGAAACCTTGCTAAGCTTGATTATTAGTTCTAGTAACTTTCTTATAGATAGGATTTTCTACATAGAGAATCATGTCATCTGTGAATAGAGTTTTATTTCTTCCTTTACTTTCCTTTAATAAAAAAATCTCCTGTTTTTAAAAATAGTTCTTCCCTATGGTAGGCAGAATTCTAAGAGTGACCCCAAATGAACTCACCCTTGTACGAACCTCTTCCCTTTGAGTGTAGGTGGAACCTATGACTATAATGAGATACTACTCCTGTGACTATATTATACGGTAAAATAGAGATTACCTGAGTGGGCCTAATATAACCACTTGAACCCTTTAAAGGCAGAAAGTTTTCTTCAGCTGGTGGAGGGAAGTAAGAGGGATCTAAAGCATGCGAAGGATTGCACACTCTGTTGCTAGCTTTGAGGATAGAGGGGCTACATGCAAGGACTAGAGAGTAGACTCTAGTAGATGAGAGTGACCCCTGGCCAATGGCCAGCAGGGAAATGAGGACCTCAGTTATACAACTTCAAGGGACTGAATTCTGGCAACAACCTGAATAAGCTTGCAAGTAGATTCTTCCCAGCACCACCAAATCAGAGCCCAGGCTGACTGATACCTTGATTTTGGCATTATGAGAACCTTCGCAGAGAACCCAGTCATGCTATACTGCACTTTTGGCCTACAGTACTGTAATAAATGGGAATTGTTTTAAGCCACTAAGTTTGTGGTAATTTGTTACACAGCAATAAAAATTCTCTATTTATATAAGGTAAAAAAGAAGCAAAAGTTTTTTGCTAAAAAGATGTTCAGGCTCAGGCTATACGTAAACAAAGTTACCAATTAAATTAATGCAGTGGATTTTTTTTTATTTGCTTGTCAAGTCTAACTTTAATGTCAGAATAAAAAAATCATATTCATATTTCATTTTTGATGGCTTTTATTTATGGTTTGTTAAGCAGAAACTTTCAACCCAGTTTTCAAGTCTTCATGCGACACCAAGGAGTAAAGTGCCCAACCATTCTGCTTTTTAGGACTAAGGGGTTTCCCAGGATATGGGACTTGCAGTGTAAAACCAGGAAAGTCCCAGGGTAACTAAAATGAGTTGGTCACTCTATCAAGGAATGGTCTTTCATACAACCGAAACTTTGTTAAAAAATGTAAATATAAGTTTCAAACAATTCTGAACATATTGTTGTTACTGGTTGTTCGCACAACATCCCTGGTCTGTGATCTTGGACATAGAAGTGGACCTTGGACTTGAACATCAAATCTCAACTGTGGAACTCTATTTGTCTGTAACACTGGACCTGACCTTAGACCTGGTCCTTGGTGATGGACCCAGACCTTGGACCTCTTACTTGGAGTTCAACCTCTAACCTCAGACTTTGACCTCATGTTAGGACCTCAGACTTAGACATCACACCTACATCAGGACATGACCTTGGACCTGGAATGTTGATCTGGACCTGAATTCTAGACCTAGAATGGGGGACCTGGATCTTAGTCTGGAACCTTGGTTTGGAATTCAACTTGCCCTGGGCATTGAACTCAGACATGGAATTGACTTGGATCGTGGAACTATACCTTTGACTTTGACCTGGATGTCTAACCTTGGTCACCGAAGTTGGACGTGGGGCACTTGTTTTTGTCTCTCTTGTGGGTACTACTCCACCACCTTAGTATCTCTCCATGGGGGAGGGGAGCCTCAGACCCAGCTGGCAAGGAGAGGGCTTCCCCTGGCTGTTCATTGATAGCTAGGGCTCCTGATCAATCTCCTTTGTCAGTTTACCTGGTGTTTTCAGCTGTACTTTGTTTAGTTTGTTCAGTTGTGGGGAGGAATAGGCTACGTGGGCTGCCATCTGTTGCTGGCTTAGGATTTGGGAAATACTTAGCCTGAATCGCCTTATTCTGTTGTATGGGGAGACTTAAGATGCCCTGCTGCTGTGTTGTTCCTCCAGTCATGTTTTCCTTCAGAGAACCTTTCAGAGTTCTCTTTGACTGTCTCTTGAATTATTTTCAGGTTTATAGTTGTACTTAGCAGGGAGAAGCAGAGATAAATAGGTCTACACCATTTTGTCTAGACTCACTAGTCACTGCTATCTTAGGCTACTCTTTCGAGAGTTTTGCTGTAAAGGTGAGCAGAGAAATGGGATAATGGCAAGAAGATGTGGTGTCAACAAACGTTTGCTTTTATTTTTTTTAATGAGAGGAACTACAGCATGTTTGTAAGATCCATCTCCTGATGATACAGGAGAGAGAGGAAATAACTGCTGGAGCAATGCCTTGAGTAGGTGGGAGGAGATAGGATCTCCTGCACAAAAAGAAGGTGGCTTTAAAGAGGAGCTTGGAAGGTTTATCCATGGTTCATCCTAACAAGAAGAAAGCAGAGTAGTGAGCACAGATGCAGGTAGGTGCTCAGTGTGGTCGCGGGAGTCTGAGGAGCTTCTCTTCTGGCTGTTTCCATTGTCTTCCTGAAAGCAGCAGCAAGGTCAACAGCTAGCTGGAGAGTGAGGAAGGAGGAAGAGGTGTTGGAGGTTTGAAAAGAGAGAATAATATATGAAAAAGTTACCTAGGAGAGTAGATGAGTGAATGGTCTAGGTTTAGAAGACAGGAGAGAGATGTAGAAGACTATGACTTAAAAGTAGGACTTAAAGAATTTAGAGATAAAGGTATTCTAAGTGATGTCACAGACCAGGGTATGGATGGTCTATTACTATTCACAAGGCAATGATACCTCTGTCTGGCACTTTGCTGGGCAACAGTGATAAAAGCATGAAGAAATCAGTCTCCTCTGGAGTGGTAAGTATGCAAGCCACATTGGAGTGGGCTGCTAAGAAAATGGGGATGAGCCTGTCAGTGTAGACAACTGATGTGGGTTTGGCTGTGCGGAGATGAAGAAACAGAGGTAGCTGAAGGGGGAAGATGGCTTAAAAGGATTTTGAAAGATGGGAGACACCAAAACATGTCTGAATTCAAAGGAGAAGGACTCAGTGGAGAAAGGTAACAGCGCATTAGAGACTAGATAACCAAAAGAGCAAGGAGATGGGATTCAGAGCACACATGGAAGGACTGGCTGGATGGGAAGCAGTTCTCTTCCTATGTTGTAACAGAAGGATATGAGAAGATGGGAGCATATGCAGATACCTTTATAGATTTAGATGTAAGAAGATCCTCTAAGACTCCTAGACATCTCACTCTAAACCCAAAGGTAGTACGACAGTATAAATGCTTCAGCCTGCTATCTTCCATACAAGGTAACCTCTTTGCCACTAGAGAGGCGCTGCTCTTGCCAAGGGCACAGTGACTTCCATGCTGCCACATCTAGGGAGTATGTTAAAGGCTTCACCATCCTGGACTTCTCAACAGCATTCAACATTGCTTCATTCTCCAGAAACACTCTTGTCTTGACTTTCCTGATCCACACACCTTTGTTTTTTTCCTTCATTTTCTGGCTATTTCTTCATCTCCTTTGTTGGATTGTGCAAATATTTGTTTTCATAAATTCTATATAAATTCAAAGCTCCCCACTACTCCCAGTGTGGTAGATTGTCTTGATAATGGTCTCCAAAGAGTCACACCTCTCAGTATCCATGGCCTTATGCAGTCCCTTCCCACATGGACTCTGGGCTTGGCCATGTGACTTGCTTTGGCCAATGGGATATTAGCAAATATGACACAAGCAGAAGCTTAATAAGCTTGTGAATAGGGACTGCTGTCTTGGAACCCTGAAACAACTGTGCTATGAAGAAGCTCAGGATGAAAGACCATGTTGGACTCACCTGCCGAATGCAGCCACATGAACAAGTCCAAGTGAGATCAGCAGAATCACCCAGCCAATTCACAGACACACAAAAATAAATCATTATTGTTTTAAGCCACTAAATTTTGAGGTGATTCATAATGCAGCAATAGATAACTGTCATCCTCACCTACATCAGAGACACGGCTACCTTTAGTGGCTTTGCGCAAATCAGAAAAAAAGTGAGTCATAAAAAATCTAGGGGCAGACACAGCTTTTTTTTTTTTTTTTTTTAAAGATTGGCACCTGAGCTAACATCTGTTGCCAATCTTTTTTTTTCTCCCCAAAGCCCCCCCCAGTACACAGTTGTACATTCTAGTTGTAGGTCCTTCTGGTTTTGCTACATGGGACGCTGCCTCAGCATGGCTTGATGAATGGTGCCATGTCTGCGCCCAGGATCCAAACCAGTGAAACCCTGGGCCACCGAAATGGAGCACGCAAACTTAACCACTTGGCCACAGGGCGGGCCCCTAGACACACCTTTGTTCAAATAAAAGGTGCTCCTTCCTCCAGGATGCAGCCCTGTGCCAGGTGCACAGCATAGATTTAAACCCACACTCAGCTCCGTTGCTGGGTGCCTTTATGCATTACATAAGCTGCATACTCTGTGTGTGTGAACCTCCTGGGAGATTTCTACACAATTCTCTCTTCAGTTAGCATAAACCAGAAACTTAGCTTCAGGACAGGTTTAATTATTCCAGTTAAGGATAGAGAGAGAGCACCTAGGGTAGTGCTCCCAGCCTTGAGGATTCAGTAGAACACTGACTTTTATTGAAGAAGATAGGCCAAATGCTGCTTATACAGAGTCACTGCATTTTTCAGGGAAGCCAATTAGGGAAGCTCCACCTTGAAAAAGGATGAATAGTTCTCAGAAAAAAGAGGCGCCATCATTCCTCTGAACCACTCATGAACATTCAGAGAAGAGGTAGACAGAGAGCTGATTCTAGAGTGAGGAGCTAGGCCCTCAGGCAGGTGGCAGTGCCCAACAGAGATGGCACCATAAGCCCCAGGGCTCCCTGGTCCTAGGAGAATGCTCTGGACCAGAGGTCTCTGAGAAAAGGCTGGGTAATGCCAGCAGTCTTCACAGACTGACAGGCCTCTATCAGGCTGGTCCTAGGCCTCCTGTTCTGGGTGCATAGTGGATGCCCCCCTCTGGACTGTAGCACACAAGGCCACAGCGCAGCTGGGGCTCCTCTTCCTCGTACCAGCGCTGTTCACTGAAGTCAGGGAAGAAGGCTGCAATCTCTCTACTGGCTGAAACCACAGAGTCTGTAAGGAGAAGTAAGAAAGAGAAGGGGTTCTCGGAGGTGCAGGATGGAGGCAAGAGACAGTAGTAATCAGGTTCAGAAACCTGAGCCTCTACTTCTCCTTGCTGCTCCTCAGTCCTGGGCCACATCTACTGAGAAGGCCACAAAGGGCCAGAAACACAATTGAGAAGAAAGTTCACTGGGGGGACCTGGCTCTGAACCCCACCATGTGGCCTACCCACCAACCCCAAACCATTCTCCCTTATTTGTGGCTGCGGACACTGGAGGTAAACTCACCAGAGCCATGGGTCGTGTTGCGGGTGTCGGTGAGGCCGAAACTCCCACGAATTGAATCCGGGGCCACGTGGCGTGCTTGAAACACTCTGGTGGGTCCCATCAGTGTCCTCCAGAACTGGATGGCATCCTTGCGGGCGAGGATGTAGGCTCGGATTGGCCCACTGTGAACAAAAGGAGCACATGTCAGGAATCTGGCTATCTGGTCTAGGAAGGCATGCTGTGAGCACCAATAAAAGCACGTGTACATCCTGAGTTTCCCTGCTTTCTGGCTAAGTACCAATGCTGCTTCAAATAGAAGGTGATAGAGGGCCACTGCTGATGTACAAGAAAGGCCACAGAGATCAGCAGAGTTGATAGGTGGCATTCAACAATAGTCTTCTACACCCACCGGACCAGTAACCAGCACGGGACAGGTAGCCCCCAGGTCAGTGTTGGCTCAGTCAGAGCCCTAAGTCCATGTTTCTTCAGCCACCTGACACTGATTACAACTTTAAAGACTGGAAATGAAATTAACAAATCTATGCACAGGGCAGGAGAGCTAGGTCCCAGTGGATAAAGATGCCGGAACCAAATTGCAAGTACCTGGCCATGAACTCCACCAGCCGCTGATAGAAAAAACGCCCTGCAAAGAGAGAGTACCTTCATCAAGACACTGGTGTCCAAGAAAACTTTTTGTACTTCTGCCTCCTTACTTGGAATAATAAACTGTTTTAGAGAAAAGAACAAGAACCTTGGAGTCTGACATACCTGAGTCTGAAACCAGGCTCTGCCACCTACAACTTGTGCACTTTCAGGTAAGTCATCACCTTCCCTGAGTCTCCTAATCTGTGTACTGAGGACATAACAATACCTACCTCACAGGGCTGTTGGGAGAATTAAATGAAATCATGAGCCTCAGGCCAACGTCTGACAGAGTAAACATTCACTGACAGCTAACTCTGATATTATCAGGACATAAAACTAAGTTTCTGGTTGTGACTATGAGGTGGAATCCTCCTAGAAAAACTATTTAAAAAAAGATTTATAATCATGAAAAGTTTGTGTACAAACCAAGACTTTAGAAGACTGGCTGAAATTTTACAGTTGGTAGGTCAGAGAGCCTGCCATGTGTGTCCAGGTAAAATCTCTCTTGCACACCTCCTGGCATAGAGATGCCTCTCATTCAGAGGACTGTTGATCCTACCTTCATGTTCTTGGTAAAACTTCTGGCAATCTTCTTTTCTCCACAGAAGTTCTCTCATTCGTACAATAAGGAACTTGTTGCTCAGAATCTGCTGATGAACAGCCTGGATAAATACCACCCCAAAGACAAAAATCAGTCAAAGGGACCATTTGAGGCTGACCAAAAGAACCAGGAAGACCCATGAGAGTCCAGGACTTGAGGGTCTGTCCTGTTGGTGGGTCAGAAGAGAAAGAAGGTGGGGTGAGGTAAAGACCTGAGTCACATAGCCAGAGCATGAGCCTTAGGTGGCGGAGGACAGGAAGTGCTATCCCTGCCCCTCCATTCCTACAGCCCCTTGAGCTTAAGCCCACAGGACCCACCACTCAGACCATCATAAAAGTCTCTTGATAGTGATCCTGCCTTGAGTGTCTCTCACTCTCTCCAAACCATCAGACTTGATAGATTAAAAACCCCGTAATTTATATGTCACATTCTGGTCAGAAGCTTTGAGTGGTTGCTATTATTCATGGAGTGAGGTACAACCATGTTGGCCCAGTGCTCAAGGCTGTACTTCCCTTGCTCTCCACCACTTCCAATTCTCCAGTCCCATCAACCCGGCCCACCTGCGGCCCTCAGACCCACCAGACACTTTCCTGCCTCAGCATCTCCCTTCTGTGGGACACCCGCCCTCCTCCTGTGCACTAACTGAAGTCCACCCTTCCTCTGAGGTCTGGCCAAGTCCCAACACTCGCAGGCCACCACCCTGACTGCTCTGGTTTTCCCCTGCACCACAGTATTTTAACAGCGCTGCTCAGCTACTACTTATCAAACTATTGTCGGCAGAATCCAATAATGACCCTCACCCAGCCGCACCGACATTCTGCACCCGAATCTCCAGGACTGTGAACATGATGCAATATGATTATGTTACATTACCTGGCAAAACGGATTTTGCAGGTGTAATTAAGGTTACTATCAGTTGACTTTGCTTTAATCAAAAGGGAGATTATCCAGATGGACCTAATTAATCACGTGAGCTCTTTAAAGGCAGAGTTTTATCTGGCTGGGGCTAAAGAAGTCAGAGAGATTGAAAGCATGAGAAGCATTCGACACACTGTTACTGTCTTGAAGATGGAGTGGGCCATGTGATGAGGAATGTGAGTGGTCTCTCAAAACTGAGGGTAGTCCTTGCCTGAAGGCCAGCAAGGATATGGGGAGCTCAGTCCTATAACCAGAGGAACCTTCCAACGACCTGAATGAGTTTGGAAGTGTCTTCTTCCCCAGACCCTCCAGATAAGGGCCCCATCAGCCGATACCTTGACTTTGGCCTTGTGAGACCCTAAGGAGGGAATCCAGCCAAGCTTACTGGACCTCTGAATTCTAGAATTGTAAGATAATACATGAGTATTGTGTTAAGCTGCTAAATTTGTGGTAATTTGCTATGTAGCAAACTAATATACCATACATTGTCTTAAGGTTTGGTTCTTCTAGTTATTATATTGGATCCTTTCTTATATTTTACACCTGCCCTAATTCTCCAATACATTTTTAGTCTCCTTAGCGTCAGAGTCCATGGCTCCTAGCTTTGCCTCCACAGCAGCTAGCACAGCACTGTGCTGTCAGTCTTCACAAGTGGCTCTATGGCATCTGAAACAGAAGCAATGCCCTGGACAGACAGCAGAGGCCTAGGATGCATTCTTACCTCCAGAATCAGTGGGTGAGCAACTGCATCAGGCTTGATCAGGGCCAGAGTGAGCTGGAGAGCCTGAGGGCTTCGCAAGATAGAAGTCATCTTACTCCTGCCATCAAAGAGCTGGATTAGGAACCCATCAGTGCTGCACTCCCCACCCTTCCTACTCTGGAGCCATGTAGCACTGCGTACCAACCGGTGCTCTCACTCCTACCACTCACAAGGCAGAACAGTTACATAGTAAGGCTGTATACCTTATTTGTATTTAACTGCCCATTTGGTCTCATGGGACTGAGGGAAGGCAGTGGTAGAGCGGGCGTTAAGTTGCCCTATGGTATACATAATCTGGTTTGTGGAACTGTAAGCCTACAAAGGAGTTCTCCACTCAGGAGAAATTCAAGTTTAAACACAACGTGTCTCTGCCAACATTCCCTTCCCTTCCTAACTTTCCTTTGTGTTTTACAGAGGGTTTACCATTTATATTCCTAAACAGCATGGCCAAAAGGGTAAAAGAACTGTTTCTACTCACAAGGCCCTCTTTCCCACAGTGTTTTCCCATTAATTCTAGAATTAGAAGACTGGATAGACAAGAATTGGGATGTTGCTAAGATGCCCAAAAAAGTCTGCTGGATACAAACCATCTAAGCTTACAGATAGATCAGGATCTCCTCTGCCCCCCCAAAAAATACTTAGCTGTCCTCAATGGCAAGGCTTGTAGACATGCAACTCCAAGGTCAAGGACTAGTTGTAACCATTTTGTATCTGAAGCAGCTGAAACAGTGCCTGGCACAACGGTGCTTGGTCAATTTTATTGACCAAATAAACCTATATAGTCTTTGTTTTGTTTTTGTTTTTGTTTGCTGAGGAAGATTTGCCCTGAGCTAACATCTGTGCCAATCTTCCTCTATTTTGTATGTGGGTTGCAACCACAGCATGGCTGACGAGTGGTGTAGGTCTGCACCCAGAATCGGAACCTGCAAACCCCAGCCACCCAAGTGGAGAACGTGCACTTAATCACTCGCCCATGAGGCTGGCGCCAAACCTGTACAGTCTGATTCCATTCATCATTCTATTTCTAGTGTCTAGTATAGTGTAAGAGCTCAATATATAATTGTGGAAATGATACAAAGAACAGAAAAGCATTTTATAAACTAGACAGAGTGTCTTTCAACTGTAAAATTCTATTTACATGTGAGAAATTGATCATTTCTGCAGGACTAAGTACTAGGCCTCAAAAGATTATCTGGTGGAACCCCTAAATTTGCCATCAAAAGCAGAGAAGGCTTCCATGAACATACACAGGGAGTGAGTATGGACAACACTCATTTCTCTTAGTCCAAAAGCAGCCTGACAATCACATTAAAGGCAGTGCTAGGGTCTGGCCCAAACCAAAAAAACTATGCCAAGGTCTCATCTACTTTTGTCCTTTCTACAGCTTTCAGCTTGATACGTCACTCAAACCACAAAACTAAGGCCAGTCTAACCAGTACAAGATCAGCCAACCTACTCTCCCTAGTATCCCAGGTGGTGAGGCATCCAAAAGTAAGTGGAATCTTCACCATACATCTAGGGAGAGACATCCTTGACACCTCCTCTCCCTCACCCTCCATATCACCAAGTTTTGCCAATTTTATGTAACCAATATATCTCAAACCCATACAATTCTCTCCCTCTCAACTGCCACCACCCCAGTCCAACATATCCTCCCTGAATTCTGCAACAGCTTCCTCAATGGTCTCCCAGTTTCTACTCTTGCCACCCTCTACAATCTGTTCTCCACACAGCAGCCAGAGTGAACTAAAAATGCAAATCTAATCATATCATTCCCCTCCTTAACCCTTTAAAGTGTACCCTGCTTTTATGATAAAACGGCAAATCCTTATCGTGCCTATTAGGCTTTGCATGATCTGATCCCTGTGTACCTCTCTAGCCTCATCTGGAACCCCACACTCCTTAACTTTCTTTTGCTCCAGGCTCATGGCCTTACAGCTCCAAGACTTCCAGGCCTAACAGCCTTTGCCTGAGAAGTTTACAGTCCAGAATTTACTTCCTCTGGTTACCTCCTACTCACCCACTAGGATTTAGCTGACTTTCCCTGTTATTTCTCATGGCTTCTTGCATGTTTTTCAGGTATGTCTTCCCCACCAGAACGTTAGCTCTATGAAAGCTGGGATCTGTTTTGCTCACCATCCTATCCTCAGTATTCTACGCAGAGTGCCTAGCACATAGCTAACTCTCAACAGTATTTGTTGAATGAATTAATGAACGAACCTGATCCAGCTATTCCAAGGCCAGGCTGCTAGGGGCTCTCCAGGAGAGGACCTGGTTCCTTTCCTAATGCCAGCTAAGTTCCGGCTGTCTTGGCTCTTGGTTTACAACAAACGTTGACAGGTTGAGCAGCAACTTGCTCAACTTAAAGGTCACTCCATCAGAGAATTAGAAAATCTAGAAGTTGCCTGGACATTTGCCCCCACACTAAGGCGCCACCTCCTCTGCTTCGAGGAGGGCGAAGGTCAAGCATCTAGTACTCCCAGGCGCGGCGGGGACCCGGCACCTCAACTCCGCCTCCGCCCCACCACATCTGAGGCCCCGCCCTCCACTCCCCCAGGCTCACAGCCTCAGCTGTTGACACCGCCCCCTCCCCCGCTGCCTCTCCATTTCTCCAGGACTGCAGCCGCGCGACCCCTGCTCATTGTACGGGGGCCTAAGCCCACCCCAGATTCTGGGCTATTTGGAGCCCACATCCAGCTGGAGTTCGGGTACGGATTCACCTGGTCCTCGTGCCGCTGTGCCCGACCACCAGGCAGCGTGATAGGCAGCCTGTGCGGCCGAAGCGGGGTCCTTCAGGCGGTGGGCCGGGCAGCCCTCCTTGGGTCCTTGCTGTGAGTCTGCGGGACTTGCTGGACGCAGAGAGAGGTGACGTGTGAATCGTGGGGCCCGTCACGGTGTCGGATTGGCCGAGGTTTGAGGCGGGGGCAGCCGGCAGCAGAAGGGCCGACCTGCCGGCGGCTCTTGTCTCTCTCCGGCATTTGCTTCGGACCAGATGAGAGGATGAAGCGGTTTCGGGCGGAAACTGCCCGTCCGAGCCCTGCTTGGGCGCCCTCAGGCGGGAGGGAGGGCCAGGCGGGCGTTCCGGCGCGGCCCTGCGCGGGGAGGCGGGGCGCCGAGAGGACGGGATGGGCGTTTCAGGGTGGCAGCCTGGCAGTGGGCACTGCCCGCCCGCGGGGCCTCCGGAATGGACCTTGTCCGACTACATTCTCTCTTATATTCTTTGTCTAGGGTAGTGCCTGGCCGGTGCCCAGTATATGTCGGAGGTACGCGGTGGGCGAAGAACTTGTGTGAGCGGCCGTTGAAAGTCTCTTGACTTCTGAACGATATGTAGTCATGTAGGAGCAGAGCTAATATGGAGGTGGTGAGGGAGGGTTCTTGGCTGGAGTGCAGGCGTACGTAGGGCACGAGGGAAACTTGAACATTTCGCTAAGGAATTTGCGGTGGGTTCTCCTGGAGTCTATTGAAGCAGTCCCGGGTGAGGAGATGAGAACGGAGGGTATTTTTAGTGTGCAGTCTAATGCATGGAGAGGGTGATGACAATGGGTATGGAGAGGGGGCAGTGTGGCAGCTTAAATAAGGGTGGTACAATTTTTTCTTGGAGGGAATCACCAAATTTGAGACGAGTAAAAAGGGGTAGTTGTCATCAATTTAAATATTTATTATTATTTTTTAACTGATTCTAGTGCCTGTATATACAGGTGTTGCACTTCTGGAACGTTGGAAGGAGGGTCTGTGGTTCCGGCAGCTTGTTTCCACAGGTGTCTTTAGGAAAGTCCATTTCTCACCTGGTGGAGGCAATGTCCATTTCTGCCTTCACAGGATGAGAGTGAACTTACCATGTGCCACTGACCAGACATCTGGTTTTAGTCTTATTTTCCAAATGCACCATGTCAAGTTTTGTTTTCTACCTTTATCTTCGTTAATATACCTTTTCACTATAGGGACTTTGCTGATTTTTAGACCATGGTTATTAATTCACCTTTCTGTCCACTTCTCTGTATTACACACACACACACTGCAGAAGGCTTTAGTTCCGTATTTTATAGTTGTTTTGACCATCCTCAGCAACAAGCCTATATAATGAAAGTAAGGGCAAATGTGCTTTTAGGGGAAGACCCAATAAATAACAACCTTTTTCTGAACTTGGGCTCAGAACCAACAGAAATAGAGGAATGGCAGGCAGGTGGAGACCAAATGTCAGCTTAATTAATATTAATGGAGCTACTGGAGAATATAATTTAGTGTGAGAGCCAAATGCACCTGCCTTCTAACTCTGTGCTACCCAGGTTCAATGCCAGGTCCCTTATAAATCTCACTTAAAACTACAGCAGCAACAAAAAAAATCTAAATAGTTAACACGACATATAAAATTATCATAGCATTGCCCAACACTCACAATATTTAGAAAGAAAGTCAATCCCCAGCCCCTAGCAGATACCAGGCAAGATTTTGTGCTAGAAACCAGTCAGAAGACTCCAATACTCAGTGATATTTGAGGGAAAGAGAATAGGCAGAAAAAGTCTTGATTCAGGTTTGCTGGGACTCCAGTAATTCTATACCAGTTATTCAGTCTCCAATTTGTGAGTCTAAACTCAATTGGGAGAATCACCGTTAAGAGGTTAGTTACGACCTGTGTTCATTGTATCCTAAGGGGATCTACCTGTGTCTAATCTTGTCTCTGCATAGTGGTATTTAAGATGATGCTGGCTTCTTGCAGTGTTAATTTACAATATGGCAGCCCCAACAAGGTCTTCTTTAAGATAACTTTTTTCATCCAGCATGTTCATATTTCTTAATACCATTTTCTTTTGGGTCCTGTGTTTCTGGCACCCAAGGGCTGCATTGAGGGTGGCTCTAATGACAGCCTCCCAGCCCCCTGTGAGCAGTCCTCAGTGGCCACTGCCTTCTGCCCTGGAGGTGCTCAGGGCCAGGACACCTGCCTCCTGGAGGAGGGGGAGGAGGGTCCTGTACCCAACACGTTTCAGTTCGAAATCACTCTCAGCAGGTTTTTTAGCTGAAGCTGCTGTTCTTGCTTCTAAAGTTTGTTCCCCCAGAGACCCAGTGAGAATCAAGACCAGTGCCATATGTTCCTCAAGGTACTGCCCTCAGCTTCTGGATATATCAGGTGAGGAATAGCATTTCTTTCAGACACTTCTCTTTTGGCATTTTTCTCTCTACTTTTCCCCTACTCTTTCCTAGGAGGCTCATTGAGTTTCTAACATTTTATTATTGGAGAGAAGGAAGACCACAGAGACAACTCTTTGCCAGGCTACAGGAAGTAGGGAGGAAATGAGCCTGTGGGGTCGTGCCGTGGAGGTTTGTCTCTCAGTTGTTTTCCAAGATACCGACTTTCTCTTGAGAAAATCCTCCTTCCTTTGTTTCTGTTCTTGCACTACTCCTAATCTGATGGAGCAGGTTTCTAAAGCTCTGCTTTTCTTCCGGGACTTCTTGAACATGTGTGATTCCCCAAGACAGTGTTCCAGGCACAGGCTTTTCTCGTTACCTTCTTAACCTTTGTGGCTGTGGTAATTTCATTGAGTGTTTTTTCTACTTCAGTCTAAGAAGATGGCATATTTTATTTGTAATAAGCACTGTTTCTTTTTTGTTATAAATAAAACCTCCACCTTTTTACCATTGAAGCAGTGTTGTATATCTCAGAACTATGAAACCATGGGTAGAGTTACAAACAGACCAGCAGGCGGGGAGTGACCCTTAAACCACGTAGAAAAAAATGCATGAGTTCCTCCAGCTTTGTCCTTTGGCCTTAGGTCTAGCTCAGAACAACATAAGGGATGAAATTTGGACAGCCTTTCCATGCCAGCTGCTAGGCTAGGCCTAACAATTTAAAGTCAGAGCTTACACACTTGTGTTCCTGAGTATATGTGGAACTTAATTTCAATTTAAAGCCCCTAGCCTGCAGAATTAGCTAAAAAACATAGTCAAGGACCAAATAATTGTTTTGCTCCTGATATCTAAAAGTCTTGTATAGGGAAAGACTTCCCTACAGTCAAATCTGTGCCTCAGCAGGGCCTGGTCACTGATCCCTCTGCTGCTTAGGGTCTGCAGATGCCCCACAGGGAAGGCAAGTGTTAAGGCCAAGGCCAGTGTTGATATAGTTAAGGGTCAGATTGTAATTGGCTGAGCTCTAAGGCCCAGACCTTAGCCCTTCCATGCTAAAATCATAGTGCATGCATAAGGACAGTGCCTTTGCTGAACCATGTGACCAGCATTTGGCTAAGGTACTTACTCATCCCTGCCTGTGTATAAAATCAGATTTATAAAAACACTTGCTTGTGAACAAAGTGGCCAACATTCAACATGGCCAACTTGAAAAGTGCTTGAAATGCTTCAAGTACTGGTCCTGTCGTAGCCTCAGCTTACTTGTGATCCCACATTCCTCACCTGGTCTCTCTTTTTTATGTTCTCTGCCAAATCATCAGATGCTAACATTCTTTTGAATAAAGCTCATCCCTCCACCCCTGCCAAAGGGCAGAGCCTACTCTTGTAAAACTTCCAGCGCAGAGCAGCAGAACCTTTGGGCACCTGGTTCCCAAAATAAGGGAGACAAGAAGAGGCCGAGCTACACTTGCCTGGCTCTCTGTTCCTGAAGCTTCAGCCAAGAGGGGAGAGGTACAGCAAGAGGCCAGGAGTGTTTACGGGAAATCCTTTCTTGTGGACCCAGAGGATTAGGCCGAGAAGCATTTACTCTCTAATAATTAGAGTTGAAAATAACTCTTTGGTTTCAACTTGTGTGTTTGGGAATTGGTTAAGAAGTTGGCTTAAAGAAGAAAATGATTTCAGTTTGGGATGTGGTAAATGTGGAGTGGTGATAGGATATTCAAGCAGAACTAGTGTGTTGGATAAGCTTAGGTTGGGAGGTGTCAAAGTAGTGGTGGTCGGAAATGTCAGTGAAGAGCTGGCCGTGGGAGAGAATGCAGAGAGAAAACAGAGAGGGCCAAAGACCAGTCCTTCCCTTGTCAAAGAATAATTTTAAAACTTTTACTTGTATACAAGAGAGAACAATAATTGATTGATTTAATCTAGCAAAAGTAGAAACAGGATTTATATAAGAGAAAAACTAGAGATGGAAGAAGGAAAGACTGCAGATAGCTTGAAAACTGTGGCTTTTGTTTTGTATGGGTAAGCTGCTGATTAACTGGCAGCCAACAAAGAAGCCAGTTAGAGTATTCTGCCCTGGGACAACTGGATGGATTATTAATACAACTTCACTTGGTTATGAATTCTCCGGAAGACCTTAGGAGTTTAGTGAGGTGTATGTTCAGGCTGTCTCTGGATAAATAATGCCTATCAATATCCTTTGTAAGCACCTTCATCATAGATATGCCAGGTTTGTACTATTTCTCTTATCAGAATTTCTGAACTTCTCCCTTTTAATCAGGATCACCTCTAATCCACATTGGCTTTGAGGGCTTCAGTCTCCTTCCAAGGCAGTAACATGAGTTGAATGTTGTTTGGAGGCAGTGGCTGTGTAGCAATATTTGGACCCAGAGGATGGCAAAAAGAGCAAGGGAATCCCAGATACTATTAAAAATATTTGGAACCCGTTTCATATCCGACTTACTCACTGGCCTGTTTAATCAGGAGAATAAGTCCCAAGGATTAGCTTAGTCAAGTTTAACTACTGAAGTGGCTTTCCTTCTCGATTGATTGATTGATTGTTTTACTTCTCCGTATCGTAAACTCTAGTATAAAAAATGTGCCAGCAATTGCACAGACCCCATTTTGGCAGGTCACTATCTAGTTGAAGACTGTCCTAGCCAATGAATTTATGGTAGTCTGTAAAGCCTCCAAGACTAGAAATGCCTTAGTTTGCTATTCGAATC